CAAATCAGTGTGCACCTTCTTCCTATCTAACCTGTGACAGAGCCCCAAATTGTTTTACTCCGGGAATCACGTATTGAATTGACTTGCACATCGTGCTTCGGTGAGAGAAAATCAATGTGGAAGCTTTTTTGCCAGAGTTGCTAATTGGAAATGCTGTGTGGAGGTGGCAAACACAAAGCTCCATAACATTCCGCCCCTCCTTTTCTTTTGTGTGCTTCCTCTCCACAAACACTAATGCATGTGTGAGTGTCTTGTGTGTATGAGTCGCTGCTTCATGCACACACTGTAAAGCCACATCTGTAAGCACATCTCATTAGGAGAGGAAACTCATTATCAGCAGTGATGGCTTGACAGGACGGCCACAGGTCTCAAAGACAATTCCCAAAGCTCTTAAACTGAGGAAATGAGAACATACATGCATGGCAGCTGTACTGAAAGAAGATGTGTGCACTATAGAAGGGACTCTAAACACAGCAGTGAGCTGTTTACATCTGAAATGTCTGTCAAGGGGGAGAGAGCAGTGAACATTAACTGGGTGATTCTCTCAAAAACATGTCCAGGTCACATTTCACCTCAACATCATAAAGAAAAAAATAAGACAAATGAATAAAGAATATTGAGCCAGTAAAATGATGTATAATTAAGGCTGCAACAACTGAAATTAAAACTAATAAAAACTGCTATGAAAAAAGAAAAACGTGAGAAGTCACAAAGTAGGCTGCAGGAAGGATGAAAAATTAAAAATGAGTATAATTACTTAAAATATACATTTCATGCACAATCTGAAAAAAAAGTCAAACTGCAAAATAAATAAATATTTACTTCAACAAAACATCCTTTTAATCTGTTGTTTTGATTTTGGAGCGAAATGTGATTTGGACAGGTTTCGTAGATTCACCCCATTGTTTAGTCCTGTCCAACAAGCTGCCAGATCTCAGCAGGAGATCAAATCAGCCACGCGTCTCTTCCTGGAGAACCAGAGCCTACCAATGTTGTTTTGGCTGATCCTGGTCTAAGTAACGAGTAAACTGACCGCCTATGCCTTCATTAATCCTGTGGGAAGCAAAAGGAAGTCGTGTTGATGAAAGAAAACCCCATTGTGTGATTGTAAGGGTGTGTGTTTGTGTGTATTCAGTATCCAGGGAGCACGTTTATGACCTGCAACAATTACTCAGTCTCTCCCAGTAGGCTGTTGTTCTTTATTATATCACTTTTATTATATCCCCCTTTCTCAGTATTGGACAAACGCAGACAGATAGACATAAAACTACTCATGGTTTCTGCATCTATCCCTTTGTCCTTTGCTCAGGTCAGTTTAATACTCACTGCAGCTACAGCCACTGAACCATAAAACCACAGCAAAAGAGCAAATGCAGTTTGTATTTGTTTGTCACATTTAAATGCAGACTCAAAACTCATCTGTTTAGCTGTGCATTTATCGAATGAGCACTGTGCGATGTCCGAACTAATTGCACTATATTTTATGTATAATCGTTTTCTATTCTTAACCGTTCATTTTCAAAGTTTTTAAATTACTTGTTTTATTGTTGTGATTATTTTTTTCTTTTCTTTTATGTAAAGCACTTTGAATTACCATTGTGTATGAAATGTGCTATATAAATAAACTTGCCTTGCCTTGTATGTCACTCATGAACAGGGTTTACCATGTTAATCTCTGTGGTACCCCAATGACTGACATTTTATTTGACCATGTGTGCCATGGGAGTGGGCAGAGATTGTGATCATGTGATCAAAGACCCTTTCTGACTCTATGGAGCTCCTCCATTTTCATTGCTTCACCCAGGTGATGACAAAGACACAAAAAAGGCCACAAAAGCCCTAAAGCTATAGAAAAAAAATCCCTCAGAAGAGTCCCGAGCCACTGAGCTCTTGAAGCAATGGATCCGGTTTCACAGCTTAAAGGGAGTCTGTTCATTATAAAGGCTGATTCTCATAGAAAGCATTAGCGTTACATGCTTACTTGGGGCTGTCTTCTTACCACTTATTCATTTCATCCCTTATAAACAAAAAACAGCATAGAGGAATGACTAAATTCATTAGGTCTCATCACGCTAAGCTTAGGCTTTGAATCTTATCTGCACTCTTTTCTACCTGCACGAGATGAAGAGATGCTGTGCGAAAGGCATTGGAATTCATAGACTGCTCATGGATTCTCCTTAATCTTGTAAAATATCTGTAGTAGAAGGCAAATGTGGATTTACTCGGGGACACAAATTTGTAAAATACTCTTACATGTTGTTACAATTAAACTTTTTTGCTTTTTGTTCTGTAAATAATTCTAAATGGTTATTGTCACTGGATTCTCACAACTTTAATACAGAAGTTCTATTGTATAAATAAGGGCTGCAACGTCTAAAAATTTATTAAAATTGAATTTAATTGAATAAAAAAATACTGCATTCCCTTCTGGACTTTTCCATGTGAAAATGTACAATTAAAAAGAGCAGTGTCTGTAGAGAGCTTTTATTTTGTTTTTTTGTTTTTTTTTAAAGAAATTAATACTTTTATTCAGCAAGGATGCAAAATAATTTATCAAATGTGAAAGTAAAGACATGTACAATGTTAAAAAGATTTATATTTCAAATAAATGCTGTTCTTTTGAAATTTCTATTCATCAAAAAATCCTTGAAAACACTGTCCACAAAAGTTTTAAGCAGCACAACTGTTGTTAACGTTGATAATAGGACATGTTTCTTTAACAGCAAATCAGACTGGAGTTATGGCTGCTGAAAATTCAGCTTTGCCATCACAGGAATAAATTACATTTTAAAATATATTCAAATAATAAATATTATTATTAAATAATATTTCCCACACTGCATACTAGGGCTGTCAAAATGGCTGAAAAACTAAATTTGAATTTTGCACTTAAATATTATTATAATTATATTTATATATTCGAATTATATTCAAATTTAAAATGCATAATTTCAGTTAGGGTGAAGAAAAGCTTTTGGCTTCTCTTCTGAGGCCACAAGAGGGCACATCGAGCAAAATATTACTAATGCACGTTTATTCAAAGCATAATATAACATGACTATATGTGAAAAAAAGTGCTTAATGTTTAAAATAATGTTTATAAACCATTATAATTAATTAAGTTGCTTAAACAACTATAAACAAAACAGCATCATATATGTATGCATAGTTTAATACAAAGGGCAGAAAGCCAATCACACGAGTACATTTTTCATTTAAAAACATGAGATGCAGTGGGATGGGGGAAAAAACCCACCATAAAGTCTCGATATGTTTTTTTTTTTCCCCAAAGTTAAACTTGCATTAATTTTACATAGCTTTCTAAACATGCGTCTCTTGTGCGAGATGCGAGTGCAACGGTGATAGATGTCCCTCTAGAAAATGCGGGAAATATGTGTTCTGTGTGATGTAAACAAGATCTTCTTCGTACTGATGTTCTCTTTTTCCACAATATTTTAATGAACAACGCAGCAGCGCCGCATCTAGTGGCTTCAACTGGATAAGCTAACAAAAACATTATATTGCAACGACACTTACATCGTCATCACATCTCGTGCGCCACTGATAAGGCTGCCTCCTTAACACACAACTAAAATTCGAATGCAACATTTTTGCATTCGAATGTGGATTTTTATTTTAAATTCGACGAATATTCGAAATTCCCAAAAAAATTTGATAGCCCTACTGCATACTGTATTTTTGATCATAAAAATGCAGTCCTGGTGAGCATAAGAGACTTCTTTCAAAAACATTATTTTATCTTCTGACCCAAAACTTTTGAACAGCGGTGCACCAGGGGGCCAATGGGCTCTTATTTGAGGACATTCATTTGTAAAATGTTTTTCAAATGTTGTTTAGTTGAAGTCGAGTTGCTCAGCTAGTTCATAAAACCAACTCTCAAGAACAACTGTGACCGAATCTGTCAGCATTTCCCCATAAAAACGAGTTTCATGCTTTTAGCCAGTTTCACCTGAGGGTTTTCCCATGACATCCGAGCAAAACCTCTAATTATGTGGCATCTCTTTCATAGTGTATATGCACAATAGAGCAAAACATTCCATTCTAGGATATTCAGCCATAGTACTGCTGGAAGGAAACAGTAATGGTATCAGGTGGTAGCATATATAGGGTTGGGTACCGAAACCCGGTACCAATATGGCACTAGAACCGAATCCGAACGCAGATTTCGGTGCCTCATTTCGGTGCCATGCCTGAGCGATCGATTGAAATATTTGTCCTCTGGTTCTCCGAAACGGACGTAATAAGAAGCATCATCACTGGCACCGCACGTGAAAAATAATTTCCCGACTGAGAAAATGCACGTGAACTCAAGTCGGAAAGCTCTAATAATACAAACCCAACACATCTTTGTAGTAACAAGAGTGTCCATGTTGTTTTCACATTCCAACTTAAAAGCACAACTCGGGAATTGAGAGCATTCGAGGAGCATGTGAATGCAGTAATTACACTTGCTCTGATGGCAGCAGGTAGCCTTCCGTTAACTAAGCTAAACATGCTTAAATTACATGTGTTTCGCTCCCGCGATTTTCGTGTCCACTCCTTTAAACATTCTAATATTGTGTATAATTTTGGCACATCAGGGAGTCGCTCTCAGGATGCGGTGTATTTAAATATTTGAATGAGCGTTTGCGCTGTTTACTTTCACTTTCGATTCTAATTTTATCTGCTTGTTTTTTTTTTATTAAAAAACTGACCCTCTAACATTTGCACTCTCTATTCTATTTCTATTCTAATGGCCAATCCATCATTTTTGGGGGGATTTTTTATTTATTTATTTTTTAATAACTATTAATTTTTAACTTTATCAGGCACCGTTTAGGCACTGGAACCATTTAAAAAAGTATTGATTTGGCACCGGTATCGAAAAAAACCCAAACGATACCCAACCCTAAGCATATATGGTATTAACTTCAAAGAATACCATGGCCCATTTCCAAAATCATGGTCATTAAAAGTGGCTTTCAGTAATAGCTACTTACTTTGACACAAGGCAGAAGGCCTCAGCGCATATGGCTGGGCATGGCACCAACTTGATGACGGCATGCTGAGCTGCAGCTTGGAAATGAGCTTGAGATACTTTTTCCAGCACTGAGGACAGGGTGTTTACATCTGCGTTCTTCGCGCCTGGCTCTCCACCCGCTAGATCCAGTATGTTTCCCCCGTGAACCACCAACACCAGCACATGCGTTTGACATTTGTTCTGGTGAACAAGGGACATGGAAAGGTCACGGCACAATATCATAGAAAAGAAAGCAGTAGCACACTGAATATTCAAAAAGATTATCTTACCTCAGCTTCCTCTAGACCGTCAATGCTAGTCTGTGGGACACATTTTTGCCTCCTTACACGGTACAGATTCTCTGACCCCATTAAGGAAAGAGCATGAGATGGATAGATGGGATATATATATATATATATATATATATATATAAAGAGAGAGAGAGAGAGAGAGAGAAGATGATTATAGCCACTTTGCACAGATGCACAGCAAACAGAACCACAAATGATTATTGATCATACAAAGCACACTCATCCCCCTTTCATTAATGATTTTACCTTCCATTTATTTTCTTCATAAGACGACAGTAAATGTAGCGTTATCATCAAAGCCACATACTGGTACCATCCTATTTCAAAACATGTCAATAGGAAACAGACAGAGCTTGGGATTTGTATCAGATAAACCCCTTCATTTTGCTGTTGGCTGGTGTCATACAAAAATAACAAAACCAAGTAACAAATTACATACAAGAGGAAGTGAATAGAACCAACAAAAAGCCTTTTGGTGTCTCTGAATCTCCAAATAAGACCGCTGGCCTTCAGCCAAAGTCATTATACCTCACCTTCACCATTCCACGCTCTATTTTTTCTATTTGTAGCTTCCCGCTCTGTTCTGCCATCTCATTCTCACACTCTCATGATCTAGTGCTCCTGTTCTGACTGGCCTCCAGTCATTCTGTCAGCATGGAGCTCGTGTCCATGCCTTCTCAATGCCGTTTATCAGTCTATCTGCTTTTAGGAGGGAAATGCTGGAAACTCACAATCCACAAGGTGAAAAAAATAAATAAAAATTTAAACCCCCTGAAGTGGTTGTTCAAGCACACATATCAACTGCATCCCTTCTATTTGACAATGGCAAACTTATGAATAATAATGGCTGATTTTCTTGTTTTCTTTTCCACATTACTAATTCAAACATTTTTTTCAATGAATCTACTCTGCAACAGTTATTGAAGTTCAATCTCATCATTCTGTAATGACAAAACATCATTCGACAACAGAGCATGTTAAGAGTTTGTACAAACAAACACAGCACTGATTCATAATCCATTCCTTTTGGAGACAAGCGTGGGAACCGAATCGTATTTGAACAACCCGAATGATGTCATAACAACTCCAAGCTACTATGACATCAAACAGACTGAGCCGATGATAGACCAGACTGCTTCTCTTAATGGCATATTCATTCACTTCTAAATCATTGGGTCTCCAAGGAGCAATTGCGTTCATTGAAAAGCTGTACCGACTGCAAAAAAAAAAAAAAACTCCCAATAGTGAGAGTCTGTGCTCATCCCAGCTGCAAGCTTTCATTCACAGCCGCACCATGAGGAAAACAGCCAGGGTGCTGAGCTGTGCTCTCTCCTTTGCTTAACACTGTATACACACTGCCAATCAGCCAAAGCATTATCAGGCTCACTGCCACTTTCTTACTACTGCCTGTCTGACTGCCTCTCCAGATGCCTGTAAGACACAAACCAATTCAGCTTACATAATGAGCCATATATATGGATAATTAAAGTAATAAAATGTCTAGATCGATCAATAGGAACATTAGAAATCGTTACCCTTGTTGTTGGAGAAGCCAAGGGTTGTACTGGAATAAAATTCCCACTTACCGTAATTCCGCTTTCAACCAAACGATTAACGAGTAGTTCGTCTTTCAGGAAAACCACAACGGCCTTATTCATCCGAGACGCCGACACAATATTTCCATGCCCCACTCGTTCTCCTACATCCACTAGTACATCCTCAACCGCAACTCCCGCATTAGTAACACATCTAACCCCATGTCTGAGTGATAGGGATGACGCCTCCACTCTCAGGTGAGATGCCATCCCTCCCAAACACGAGGCTGCCAGGCACCAAACTTACAACGAGCTGAGAGTTAGTTACAAACAGCAACATGTTCCACTGACATTTTTATTAATATTTTCAAGAACACAGGAAGATAAGGAGAGAGAGAGAGAGAGAGAGAGAGAGAGAGAGAGAGAGAGAGAGAGATAGAGATAGAGATAGAGATAGAGATAGACTGAATGATACATTAAATGATAGATTAAATGATAGAACGATAGATAAACAGACAAAAACAATAACAAACAGGATTGACAATCAGACAAAGGCAGACAAATAGAATGATAGAAGGAACAACAGAATCATAGATGGATAAACAGACAGACTGACAGAAAGACGGATAGATGGTGAACTTTGTGTGTTAATGAAATTCCACAGTAGGAGCTTAATGCTTGTCCAGAGTGGCAGATCAGGGAATGCTGGGAACTCCCACAGTTTAGTCCCAATTGGGCTCAAAAGGTGAGAAAGCGATGGCAAAGAGATGGAGAAAAAGGATAACAAGCAATAACGACAGGACAATGAAATGACAAGATTATTGATTCCCCTCCCATTCCTCACACCCTCTGGTCCAGAATGTCACTTCTCTATAAATGCAATGGGGACAGTTTGTTCTTATTCACTCTGCTCTGGAGTTGCCTGTCTCTCTTGCTTTAGCTCATGTCCTCTATTTCCCACAGCAGCCCAGTCATCCAGCACTACCCCTGCAGATTTATAGCATCCTGTAGAGAAATACAGATTCAAGGGACAGGAAGAAAGACAGAGCAATTAGAGAGAGAGACAACCACGGAGGGCAGTGAAGAATGTGACAGAGAAAGAAAGGAGATGGACAGAAAGATTTGACCACTCCAAGCAAAACATCTAACCAACAACTCTCTTCCTTCAGAGGAGCAAAACTAAGTACAAAGAAAAAGAAAATCAACCAACAAGTAGACCTGCCCCTTCAGCTTCAAAGACACTCATCTGTTCTTGAAGGGCACTAAGGCCCCAGCAAGTTGACAAAACGTAAAACCAATTTTCAGCTGAAAAGATAATAAACCCTACAGGGTCAAATGTGTATTGACTGAGCCTGTTCCTCCTTTTGATTCCACAATCATATTGTTTAACAAAACATGGATTTCTACCAAGCAAACCTGAACAAACCTGTAAACTAGCTGTAAGCCCACATTTGTAAGCTATCCATTTAATTGACTTTCATGTGACATCAAATATATGACAGAGTTTCACTGAAATAAATTATATTTACAAAAGTCCATATGAAAATATTTGTATAGAAAGAAAATACAGCAGTGCTACCTTGTGTTCACCAACAAAAACATTTAAAATATTTTTTAATTAAATCTGCAAAATTTTTACTTTTCAAACACAAATGACGCGCCAGAAGAAAAAGCAAAAGTCTGTTTGATAATCTGATGGATGGCAACAGTTGCTAAGGTAGGATTGGTCAGTATGGTGTAGTGAACAGGGATGCACCAAATGGAAAATTCTTGGCCGAAGCCAAAGTTGAACGAAATGAAACACTGTGCCGAAGGCCGAATACCATTGCATATATTAAATACCCAAATTTAGCTTTTTATTGTTTTGTCTTGCTTTTCAAAGAAAAAATCAATTACAAAACAACAATTAAAAAAATGTACTTAACAATGAAAATTTTTAACATTCTAGCAGACATTATACCAACAAAGCAATGCCTTGTAAAAATTCATAAAAATGTTACTGAGCAACTGACGAGAAACACTGTTTCAGTGCAGATTTTCTTCTCACTTTGGACTTTGAACCCTGGCTAACAAGCTCGATCAATTTGTGCGTATATTAGAAAACATAACATTATGCAGTTTATTTACTAATTGTTTAAGGCCATTTCGCTATCTCAATCATCATACAGTAACCAGCAACAACCACCCCTTCCACTTCTCATCGGAGACATGAGATGCAGATGCAGTGGTAAGCAGGCTCTCGCTGTCGGTGCTTGTAATGATTTTTGTGTCTTTCTCGGACAGTTTTAAATGCTTCCACACTGCAGACATGTTTGCTGCATTAGCGCGCCCCTCTATTTGATCGTGTCATGTCATTGTTCGGTACAATTTATTCTGTCTTTTCGCTTATTCAGCCGAACACCGAAATAACTTTTTTTTTTTTTATATATTTTCGGCCGAATAATTTTGGTTGCCGAACATTCGGTGCCATCCCAGGTAGTGAAGCGTCAAGACAGAGAGAGAAATAAGGAGAAAGAGATCAAGGAAATGACAGAGCAACAAGAGAACAGAGCAACAGACAGAGAGAAAAGAGTTAAATAGATTGAGATTGAGATTGAAAGAGATAGAGATAGAGATAGAGAGAGGAGGCTGTTCAGAATGCAAATAAGCATTTAAAGTGGAAATAAACATGAATGTGTTGCCAAAAATACACCCGGGTTGACAGCGGCCACAGGCGATTGGATGAGTCAAGTCAAGTCAAGTCACCTTTATTTATATAGCGCTTTTAACAATACAGATTGTGTCAAAGCAACTGAACAGCATTAATTAGGAAAATAGTGTGTCAATAATGCAAAATGACAATAGTAAACACAAATTTTTCAGTTAAAGACAGTTCATCATTGAATTCAGTGATGTCAACATCCAGCTCAGTTTAAATAGTATCTTTGCAATCAAGTCAACGGTATCGCTGGAAATGAAGTGTCCCCAACTAAGCAAGCCAGAGGCGACAGCTCATGAGCTCATGAAGAGACTGAACAGAGAAGTGAAGAGTACAACTCAACTGAAGAGAGCTAGAAATTATATAGATGAATTGTTGCTTGGATCATATGGAGAACCAAAAAAGCAAAAATAAACACAGAATGTAACTGGTTTGACCAATGAGTTGAGCAAGCAGAAACAGTATCAGAAATTCTAGGAAAAGCTGAACTTCTGCAGATGAGATGCAAAAAAAAGGCCAATTCAAGGCCAAAAGGATTTAGTGCTTAAATCATAAAGCTATATAAAACTTCTTTTTTTTTCTTTTTGCAGATTTTACAGATTTTAGCAATTTGCTTGTTTTTTTTTTATGGTATCTGGCTAACAAAAGTATATTAAATTCACACCATACATATACTGGTGGTTCTCAACCGGGGGCTGGGGCCCACTAGGGGGCCTCAGCAAACTTCCAAAAGGGCCACAAGATGACTTAAAAGTAATTAAATAAATAGATTATTATAATATATGAAAATAATATAACTTTAACGTTTTAATGAAAA